ACCACCTTTAGCCATTCCAAAAGCCGGTCTTCATCCAAAGAAGGTCATGTTCTGTGTTTGATAGGATTGGAAAGGGATCCTGTATTATGAACTTTTACTAAACAACGAGACGATAAATTCAGAGAAGTATTGTTCCCAATTAATAGACGAATTGAAGACAGCATTTGAACAAAAATAGAGAATCCGAAGGGCGTCATGTTTTATCAGGATAATGCGATCATGTGTCTTTGATAACTCAACAAAAGTTGTTGGAGCTTGGTTGGGATGTTCTATCCCATTCACCATATTCACCAACCTCGCGCCCTCTGAGTCCACCTATTTCGATCATTACAAAATTTCCTTAATGGAAAAAGCTTCAACTCTTTGGTGGAGGTAAAAAAATCACTTAGAAAAATTTTTCGCTGAAAAATCTGAAAAATTCTGGAAGGATGGAATTTTCAAGTTGCCTGAAAGATGGAGAAAGATTGTAGAACAGAATGGCACCTATATAATTTAATAAATGTACAATATACTAAAATATATAATTTAAATCTTCTGCGTTTAAATTTTCCTTCAAAATCCAATTTCCGGACAACCCAATATAATTCTAATTTATATAGTTCTTATTTCTAATTATACATACCATGCGTGTGTATAATTACAGATGTTCTTAGTTAAAGTTCTTGCATGGTTCATCTTTTTTTCTTTTTTTTCTACCATGCAAAAAGTTCAGCTAAAAAGAACAGGCTTATATTACACTATATTTAGAAAAAAGCTATTATGAGATAAAATGAGATAGTGGCCTAATATGAGGCATTTCTGCTAAACTAATTAACGCTATCTATTGGTTCCACTATGGATTTATTGCTCTTTGATAAACTGTTATTATATGTTGTTTAATAAAACTGTTATTATATATTGTTTTATAGATTATTATATATTATTTTATAAAAAATTCATTATTAGATCATGCCTATAGTCATCGTAAAAAAGATTTTAGAATTTATCTTCAAATTTTATTGAGATGAACTTTTAACATTGTTTATTAATAATAAATAAATATATTGGCAATAAATTCTTCATGTAATGAATGATAGAGTAAGGTCGTACTAACAGAAAAATATGGGATATGTTGAATTGCTTAATTACAGAAGTTAGATTTGATGATTGCAAAATCATAAGGCGTAAAAATCGTAATATGAGGTACCCAGAGTATTTAATGATATGAAATAACCTATGCTCCCATAATGAACATTGCTAAAGTATAAATGTTATACTTTACTGTTGTACAATAATAAAAAGGACAACCGGAATGAACGTTGAGTGCCTATTTCTACGATGCTTAATTTCAACTACGTGAAGACGAGTGGGTATAATGTATCGCATACTCATTTTTCGCGCACCCTGACTGTGTTTGTTTGTATTTAAGAAATATTAAATAAAGTTTTTAGTTGCAATACTGATATACTTTGCATTTTACTATCAATTTCTCAGGACATCTCATATTAGGAGCACAATTTTTTGACTTTGCGATTTGTTTTTTATGTCTTTAATTTTCAAAAAAAAAATGAAATTTGAATTAAATTTTATGTAACATTGTCTTAAAACTTATTAAATTCCCTTCAAAATGATCTATTATTTTTTTAAATTCCATAGACTTCTAGCATTTACCCAAATGAACGTGATATCTCATAATAAGGGCCTTTCCTCTATATGCAAATTCAAGAGTTTATTTAACTCCTTTAGAAATATGATACATTCAGAGTTCTTTCTATGTAAAACCCACCCATCCAGTGTTTCTATAAGAACATGTTCAAATTTGCACTGCCTCCGTGCAAATATATATAATATATAATTTTAACAGTATATACTCTTATAGAAACACTACTGTGCAGTCTCAAGGAAAAATACCATTAGACTGTTATTTATAAAAATCAGTAAATTATTACTCTAAAAAATATATAGATATTTATTATTTGTATTATTGTAGCTTATTACATTATATATTTTATATATTGTTTATACTGTTTATTTTGTTTTGTAACGTTTCTTATTCTGTTATCTGAGCGACAGAATCATTTTTTGATGGCTTTTTTTAATTCGGCAGATGTCGAACCTGGTAACCGTTTCATCATCGAGTCTGAAATATGTACAAATAATTGCATTAATAATTAAAATAATTGCATAATAAAAATAAAAATATGAAATAATATTTATAAACATAAATTTTATAAACAAATCAATTAAATATAAGACAATAGG